GGGCGCAGGCGCGACCCCGACCCCACCCGGGCTGCTACCTCACCTGTGCGCTGTGGGCCGTGGGAGGCTCTGGGGTAGGTTTCACCAAACAACCGGTTGGTTCCGACTCGGCTACGTAGGCCGCGTGGCCTTGCTTCCCTCGCAGAGAAACAGGCGCAGCCGGCGCGGAGGTTGAAAGCTCTGCGGGCGCGAGTACCAAACGCGCCGACTGTTTGTCGCGCCTCAGGTCCCCTGGGGCGCCCAGTGCAGGAGGCCACCCCTCCCGCCGCCACGGACCCAACCCCGGTCCTCTGCCTTAGCCGAAGGCCGCACCCTCCGCACACAGGCCTTCCTCAGCCCCAACCCAGGACATCACCAGGTCCCGCAGTGCGTCCAGTCTTCCCGTCCGCAAGTGTGGGTAGGAGCCGGCCGCTGGCCCCGCGCTGGGCACAACCTGGTGGGCTAAACCAGCCCTGTGCCTGCTCTGCAGCTATGGGGAAGGGAAACCCGGTCATGGCAGCTATGGCATTCGCTCCTTAAAACCTCTTTATGGAGTCTCATTCCTTTTTTAAAGTCCCAAACTACTTAAGGTGGGCATGAAGCCCCCATGTGTGATCTAGCCCCTGTCTGCTTGGCTTCATTTAGGTCCTTAAAGGATGCAGGTTTCTTCTCACCTAGGGCATCTGCAAATGCTCTTCCCTTTGCCTGAACACTCCTCACCTCTTCCCTATTGTGAGTGTTCTTCATATATCATTTCTTAGGTTACACTATCCTGGCCTATGAGACTTTGCAGCATTGCTGGGTGTGGTGGCTCATACCTGTAATCATGGCATTTTGGGAGGCAGAGTGGCGGATCGCTTGAGTCCAGGAGTTCAAGACCAGCCCGGGCAACATGGCAAAAAAAAAAAAAAAAAAAAAAGAAAGAAAGAAAGAAAAAGAAAAAGAGAGCGAGAGAATGAGAAAAAAAGAAAGAAAATAATTAGCAGCTCAGGCCTGTAATCCCAGCTACTTGGGATGCTGAGGTGGGAGAATTGCTTGGGCCCCAAAGGGAGGTAGAGGCTGTAGTGAGCTGTGATTGCACCATTACACTCCAGCCTGGGCAACAGAGCGAGACCCTGTTTCATTTAAAAAAAAAAAAAAACACACACACACACACAAAAACCAGCTGGGCTCAGTGGCTCACACCTGTAATCCCAGCACTTTGGCACTTTGGGAGGCTGAGGCAGGCATGGCAAAACCCCGTCTCTACTAAAAATACAAAACTTAGTGGGGTGTGGTGGTGCATGCCTGTAGTCCCAGCTACTTGGGAGACTGAGGCAGGAGAATTGCTTCAACCTGGGAGGTGGAGATTGCAGTGAGCTGAGATTGCGCCACTGCACTACAGCCTGGGTGAAGAGCAAGACTGTCTCAAAAAAAAAAAAAACCAAACAAACAAACAAAAAAAACAGCTGGGCACGGGGGCTCACACCTGTAATCCCAGCACTCTGGGAGGCCAGGGTGTGCGGATTGCCTGAGGTCAGGAGTTTGAGACAAGCCTGGCCAATGTAGTGAAACCCTATCTCTACTAAAAATACAAAAATTAGCCGGGTGTGGTGGCATGCTTCTGTAATCCCAGCTACTCAGGAGGCTGAGGCAGGAGAATGACTTGACCTCAGGAGGCAGAGGTTGCAGTGAGCTGAGATCACCTCACTGTACTGCAGCCTGAGCCACAGAGTGATACTTCATCTCAAAAACAAAAACAAAAAAAACCACAAAGATTGCAGCACCAGGGATTCTTCTTCCTAGCCCCTTTCAGGATGTGCAATAATTTGTGTAATTTTTGTTGAATGTGTAACTTAACAGTAGACTGAGATCCATGAAGGCAGAGACCACGGCCGCTTGGCTCTCATTCTTGTATGTCTCACATCTGCACCGCGCAGGCCCATATTAGCTCTGGTAAATATTTATTAAATGAATGAATGAATGAAGAGCAGGCCTGAGTAGTGTCTTAGGTGGCCTTGATTTTCAATTTAAGGAGGACACAATATTGCCTACAGAGAGTGAGAAAAGTTGTTGAGTGGGCCATGTGAGGAGCAGTGAGTGGTCCCTGTGGAGAGTGGGCCCAGTCATAGAATAGAGACAAGTGAAGGGATTTTGGAGGGTTTTGAGGGCCCAGCGTATTTGGGGGCTGCTATGGCTTGAATGCTGGTATCTCCCCGAAATTCATATGTTGAAACCTAACCCCCAACACATTTAGATTAAAAGGATGAGTCCTTTGTGGGGGAAATTGGTGCCCTTGTGAAAGAGGCTTGAGGGAGCCTGTTTGACCTTTCTGCCATGTGAGGATGCACTGAGAAGACACCATGTTTGAAGCAGAGAACAAGCCCTCAGCGGACTATGACTCTGCTGGAGCCTTGATCTTGAATGTCCCAGCCTCCAGAA